GCCAATTCAGGCACTACATACACAAATCACTGCTGTCAGTCAGTTAGCGACAGCTTAGCAAATTGGGGTATTTGTTGGTCCAGTTCGTGCAGAACTTGATCATGTAGTTGTGTAAGAAGCAGAATTTGAAAGAAGAATTTGCTGCATATACAAAGAACTAACCTGATGGTAGCAAAGTTATTCTGTGAGCCTCGGCTTTTGCCAATAAATGAACCAACAACATTTTTCTAAATGCAGTCATTTATTTGATTGGTGTGAAAACGTGATGTCTGTTGTTCTGACAGTTAACAGTGTGAAATGTGGTCTGTAACTGTAGACTTAACTGGGAAACCATTCTGATCTCAGAACCTGAAGCGAGTAGCAGAAGTGTGGATGGACGAGTACGCCGAGTACATCTACCAGCGCAGGCCCGAGTACCGCCACCTGTCGGCAGGAGACATGACTGTGCAGAAGGAGCTGAGGAACCGGCTCAACTGCAAGAACTTCAAGTGGTTCATGAGTGAGGTGGCCTGGGATCTGCCCAAGCACTACCCACCTGTGGAGCCTCCTGCTGCTGCATGGGGAGAGGTACAGTTGCTCTTATCCTCTAATTAAAGGCAGCCTAATTGAAAGATGGAACTAGAGCTACCAAGAAATGTGTGTTAGAAAGTCATGACAGTGAGTACTTTGAATATGTAAAGTGAAGCTATTTTTTTCTCAGCTTCGTGTAGTTTAGTTTTAAAATGCCACTTTGTGTGCCAGAGGTTCAGTCTAAAGATAGTTGGTCTTGTTACTGGTGTCTTAAGCAAATTCTTCTTTTTCTCCTTTGGTATAGCAGGCCAAAAGATAAGAGTAATTACCAGCGGTTTCCTCTAAAATAACTCAAGAAGCTGTCAGAAATTCTCTCCATTTGGCTCTAATATTCCTATCTGTCTGTCATAGCAGACTGCTGTCTGGAGCTGTGGACCGGTTCCACTCAGTGCATGAATTTAATTAGAGCTTAATTGCAGTGTTCTTGCCTCCTGAAATAACCCAAACTAATGGTATAATACTACTTGAAGCTGCCTGATGATTTTTTTTGCATATTCTTTGTGATTTTGGTAGTTTAAGAAATCCTCTGATCTCTGTTGAAGATGTACAACTCTTGTTGCATGAATGACGTCTTTCTGCCGTCTTTCATGCTTATGTGACTCTGCTCTTATGTGTGTTTTTTGATGAAGATCCGTAACGTGGGTAGCAACATGTGTATGGAGAGTAAACATTTTGTGTCGGGGAGTCCTATCCGCCTGGAGAGTTGTGTGAAGGGACAAGGCGATGTGAGCTGGAGACATGGACAGGTACGGAAAAGTCACTGAAGTCAGTTATTAATCAGTGTAGCTTGAATGGAGCCTGATTAAGGTCATGTTATTAGTTCACCTTCAATGTCTAATTATTACTTATTTAAACCAAGTTCTGTATACAGGAAGAGTGATGAGAAAGAAGTCAACCTGTGTGCTCACAGTGAGCACGCCTAACACGCTCCCATTGATGCAAACACTGTAGGCGGCAATAAAGAAAACCTGCAAATCCAGAGAATGAATGCGCTGACATTGTCCAGATCATCTTCATTAAATTAAAATCTCAAAATAGAATCCAGACATATCCTGAGGGGAAGCGCAAGCTGCAGTGTAACTGTGTTAGGCAAACTCGGCACAGCATCATCGCTGCCTGTGCTGCTCGCGTTGGTAACCTGGAGTGTGTCTGCCATGTTGTCAGATCTTTCTACTGACCAAGCTGAACTTGCAGTACAAAGCTCAAAAAATGTGGCCTTTGCGTACAGATTTATAGACGACAACATGGTTTGACTTTTTAACCCTTTAAAACCGGTCAGAGCGGGCA